TATTTTTTTCTTTTTTTAAATATTTTATTTATATTCAACAGTTTTTTTCCAGCTTTTTGCAGATATTTTTTTACTCTCAGTTTACATCCGAGTACTTTCATCTCAGTTTTATTCCCTGTTTGTGGCCCTCTTGTCTCGTCATTAGATTAGTGGTCTGAAAACAGAGTTTGCTTAAATGCGGTTAAACCACTGAACTGACCTGGAAGTGGTTGCTGAGGCCTTTGTTGACGACCACTCGGACTCCTTCCATCTGCACCGGAAAAACCTCTGAGGAGAGAAGCAGAAAGCTTCAGTCTGAGCCTGTTCTGGACCCGACCCAACAGCTTTAGTCTGGGTCTGTTCTAGACCAGACCCAGTACAACAGGCTGTTCCTCACCTTTGCATTTCCGATGACACTCATCGAAGGCGCCGGGGTTCGGCAGACCTGGTTCTGGCTCCGGCTGGGACCCCGAGGATTCCCCGGTTTGGGGGGAGACCGGAGCCACGGGGGGCATCCCAAAGCCCGGCGGCATCGTCAGCCCGGCGGCGGCGCCAGGGGGCGGCGGTGGCGGGGTGGGGGAGCTGGCCGCCAAAACACTGCCCATCCTGATCCAAAGGACAGAAAACAGAGATGAAACTGACCTCCATGTGCTTCACTTTGAGGCTCTAGAGGACCAGAACCAGGTTTTTACTGGGCAGTCAACAGGACAGGGCCTTCTACTTCCTGTTTACTGACCAACAGGAGAGAAGCTGAGCCTGTGGGGCCATTTAATTGGTGGATATTCAGCACATTTATGAATAAACATCACATAACATTTAGTTTACAATATGAGTTATGGTCTCCATTTCAGCACTTATTTATTACAATAACCTCCATCTGCTTCACTTAGCTGCTACAGGAGGTTTCCCCCTGCAGCTCTGAAGCTTTAGAGGACCAGAACCAGGTTTTTGGAGCTGGTTCCAGTCCGGATCCAGTTGTGCTTCATACAGAGGGCTCTAGCTGCTCTCTGTAATTGGCTCCAATTAGCCGGCCTCTAGACGTTAGCCAATGACAAGCCAGAGCGACTCTTAAAGCCACAGGAGCAGAACGGGAGGCCATAACAAAACAGTTTGCCCTTTAATTCTTCATTAAATTCAAAGTCCCTGTGCACGGTTCATCCTGGAGATGAAACGTGCACAGAGCCCCAAACCGGAACCGGTGAGTGGAGGCTGGACCCGGTGGGCTGTGACCCGGTTCAACCCCTCAGCTCCGGTTTGGCCGGTGGTTCGGGGTCCGCCAACCGGCTCCAAGCGGCCGTTGGTGGATGAGGGGACACGGAGGCGTGACAGAGTCACGGAGTTAGTAGAAAACACGGCGCTGCTCGGAGCTACTCACGTTGTGGTTTCCAGAGGACGAGGAGGCCGGAAGTAGAACCCAAAACCACCACAGAACAAGACGCTAAGGACGCCTCTTCCCGCCCATTTCACCAAAGCGCGTCCTCATTGGCTAGTGGACCTTCACCCTCAAAGATGATTGGTGCTTCTACCTGTCAGTCATCTGACGTAGTAAAATCACAAACTGCTGATGTAAAAGGCCTACTCGAAGATTATTGGCTAATCGAAGAAACGCATGCCGCAAATGGGCGTGGCTTACAGTTAAAGTGTTTCTGATTGGAGGAAATGTTCTCATGGAGCTTCTGTAGCTTTTGGGGCGGGATTTAAAAATGTTTTAATAGAGATACACCTTCAAGGTCGACCGGAAGGGGTTTCTGCCCGTTTGTGTCTGAAAAGCAGTCGGATGCTTTCTGCTGTGCTGGTTAAACTCTGACAGAAACCTGTCTGTGATCACACATCAACATCTGAGCCTCTGATCCAAACCAGAATCAGGAGAACTCAGAGTTCTGCTGATTCTCCTCCAGTATGAGGCTTCATTTCCTGAAAATCCATTCAGCTTTGAGCCTCTAATTAGAACCAGAGGAAACAATTAAAACTTTCTGCTTTTTTCATCAAGAACCAGCTCTGATTTCCACTAAATGAGCTCTGTTCCAGCAGATATTACAGACAGAAGTGGAAACATGATTGCAGGAGCTGAAACAAGTTGATTTCAGAGCAAACACAGACTCAGTTGAACCTGAGAGGACAAAATAAGGCTTAAAGTGTCTCACTGCTCAGTTTGATCAAGAGAAAATCTGAAAACAGGAGCTGATTTTACACTAAAATGATGGTAAAACTTCAGTTTTTACACAAGAGGCTGAAAAAAATGCCACTAATTAATTTGGGAATCAGATAAATAACTGAAAGACATACAAAAAATTCAGATTTTCTTAATACAAAGTTTGAATCTCTGCTTTCTACCTCCAGCACCAGCTCTGATTTCCACTAATTGAGCTCCGTTCCAGCAGATATTACAGACAGAAATGGAAACGTGTTCAGGAGCTGATACAGTTTCACTGGGTCCATCCTCAAGGAGAGCCAACCTTTCTTAGAGACTGAAGAGGTCAAATATTTCATGGACATAAATTCAAACAAGTTGACAAGTCTAACAGATACTTAATGAATATGCTCTATTGAGCTGAAATGGTGTTTTTTAAATGCTGTAAGTGGAAAAATAAGCAGCCAACAACAAAGTGAAGTTTGGGTCAATTTATTGAATTTTTAAAGCCCCTGCATGTAGTTCCAGGTTCATACAGCAGAGGGCAGAGTCGTCAACACGTGGCCTGAAAAACAGGATTGTGCCTCATCCAATCAAAACTTGGGGAAATCTGGGAGTTAATCTGACTTTCAGAGCAGGAAACCTGGTACAAAAAATTAAATCATGTTTCAGGGATTAGAAAAAGGGCCAAAATGTCCCGTAAACAGATTAACTCAAATTAAAATGCTTTTTCGGTCAGTTTTCTGACCAGAAAA